GGAAGGGACGGGACGGGACACGGACAGCGGGACACGACATAGAGCTCTGCAATCCCAAAGTAGGTCCTATGCAGTTCTTAGAACCAAGAGAATCAAGAATTTACTGCTTGAACAGCACATAGTCTAAGTATTTAAGACCATTTTAAAAGAGAACAGGTTAAGGGTGTTAGAGACAAGGAAATTCACTGGCATGCGTCAATCCTAGAATAACATTGAGACCCCTAATCAAGAATAGTAATAATGAGGAGGCACTCCATAATAGTCAAATTATATCAAAATAGCTATACAGAAGCAGTTTGTCAGAATAGACATAACTGTCTATTTCTTAAAAAGCATCACAGGAGAGAACTGGATTTACAAGGAAGAGAGGTCAAAGCAAGGAGGGGGGATAAAAAAGAGTTCAAACTCTAAAAGCAAAACACGGCAGTACACACACTTCTTCCCCTGGGGAAGGGGTGACAGCAAAGCATATGATGGATGTTAATAATGTTGCTTAATGCATTACTGGAAGGCATTTGGATCCAACAGTGCTGAGTGCTGCCTAGCCTTGTATGGAACAGAAAGCAGACATGAATAACATTATATAGGTGTTTAAATCAGCTGTGATTGCATCTTGATGGGTTGGTATTTTTTGTTGTTGCTTGGTTTTATACGTTTTGTTTGTATCCTATTAGCTCCATTTGAATGTTTATGGTTTTTTTCTGGACCCCATCTCCCTTGCTGTAAAGATTTCGCTGATTCTTTTCTGATGTGTTTTGAGTATTATCTTTACAATTCCAGTTATTTTCTTGGTATTTGGCTTCAAACCTCGTAGGCTTTTCTCCTAAGAAAGTATTGGTCTGTCTTTACTTTTTGGTTTTTTACTACACCTTGGCCTTTCTCTGTTGCATCAGGGGTTTTGACTGAGTAAGTGAAACAAGCACTCCACCTTGAAACACCAAAAGCAACGTGCATTTGGAAACAAAACTTGGGCTATTGATAAGGTTTTGTGCCTTCTGGAGAGATTCAGTCTTTCCAATGCTTTGTCTTTGTGTTTTGGTTTTGGTTTTTTTTTTCCTAACTTCCGTGACAGAGTTGCTTGTTGATGGGTTGCACATTAACAGACAGCTTGCTTTTGAGGGGCAAGGAATCAGTGACACTTGACTAGATACAGCCGCGGCTACAGCAGAAGTGGCAACAATAGAGAACAGCATCAGCATGCATCCCACAGTCAGCTGGGATGATGGTTTTTAGGCAAATAGCCAGTCGCTAGGCAGCCAAGGACAAGGACTTCCTTTTCCCTCTGCTGAGATCTCTGAATATTAAGCTTTTCTTCCCTCAAAGGAAGAGGCACATTCCCATCCATCACCAGCAAGGTGTATTTACATTTCTTCGGGCTCTGGATGTGATTTCCAACTCGGGTGCAGGTTTCCAGGAAGAGCCTGCCTCGTCTTTTTTTTTTTTTTTTTTTTTTTTTTCGAGAGACCGTTTTTTCTCCCCTTCTCAAGTCTTGGGAAGCGTCAGAGTGGCCGAGCTCCAGATGAGGCAGCTGTTCCCAAATATACTCAGTGGGAAGAGTTTTCATAACAATGGGAACCACATGAAAGCTCCCGGAGTAGCTCCTCCTACTATTGAAGAGTCCTTTCAGTTGAGTGGTTTGCATATTGGGTTGCATAAATGACTAGACACACCAAGGGGTCCATTTTCAGCACTGTGCGCATAGAATTAGACACGCAAGCCTTGCTAACAATAATGAGAGTTGTGTGCAAAACTCCCTGCGCAATATGCTGAAAATATTCTGCTTAGTGAATCTTCCAGCTCACGGCTATTTCCTGGCAGTGCTGAGCTGAGTTCTGGGAACAAAATGAAAGTCTGGGCTCTGTGTGTGTTCACAGATCTCTCTCCTATAGTTTCTGAAAAAAATGTGAAAAGACTCTCTCTTCACACACACCCCCTTTTTTTTTTTTTCCCTTTTCTTTGTATGTTTAAAGTATAAATGAACTCCACATCCCACTTTTCCTTCAAGCACCCTTAAGTACCAAGCTTTAAGGCTGCTGAAGGAAAAGCCATTTGCCTTGATGGAGCAGAACACAAATTTTGTACAACTGTGTCTCTGGTTTTAGTTCATCATGAGTGTTTGTGCCAGTTTGCTTAGCATGTGGCTATACAAATGAGCCCCATGGAGAGGCCTTTCTCCTACCAAACACGCTATGGTGACGTTCTGGTCACAAGCTGCCAACATGTACTTCAGCCAGTCACAGGACTGTGAGACACTAAAAATGTTGTCAGAAGGGGTTATAGCAAAGTTTTGATTATTTATTTACTTTTCATTGTGGTAAGTCAGAACACTTAACAGTATTTTCCCAGTGGTGCTCTGCTGACGTTGTGTTAGGTTTTATATGAAAAGTAACCATGCCCAAGGGATGGGACAGAGGATGGGAGCTAAGGCTTGTAACTCTTCTGTGCTCCACCAAAAATTCACTTATTTTCAGCAGGCCACTTGGTCTCTGTTTTTCCTGTTCCTCCCTAACCTGCCTCATGTATCCAGACTGTAGATTTGTCATGTGAGGGCTGGGACAATGCAAGTATCTATAAGTAGAAATGATAGTGAGAATTGTGACACTGTGGCTGCCATTCACGTTTTTCATTAATTGAAGTGGTATTTTTTTCAAATTAATTTAAATTAGTTTTTAAATCAATATTTAACCAGAGAATTGGGGAATAATAAATTGCTTCAGCTGAGAGGGAAAATTAATGAGGGAGCCAGATACATCCATGATGCCAACCTGTTTATTTAAAGACAGTGCCTATAGCATAGTTGTTGGTTTATTTTCCTGATCATTGAAAGTTTCAAACAAACAGGTAGCTGCTTTCTTGCTGACAGCATCAATTTTCTTTCAATCGGCAGTCCCCCAAATCGCCCTCTCTTTCCTGGATTCACTGTCCTACTGCCACTTGAGGCCATGTCTGTCTTCCCGTTCTGTTTCTGCATGCTTGCTTTTTTTTTTTTCACATACACACACACACTGCCCTGGACCAGAATTCTGCAACCCCCCAGGGAAATGCTGGTCTCTGGATGCACCACTGTATGCCTCAGGTTTCGGTAGCGTATTCCCAACTACCCCTTGCAGCAGTAAAACCCCACCATTTCAGTGAGGTTGAATGCAACCAAAACAGTATGAGCTCCTGTTTTATTCAGAGGCATATACTATGCGCTGTCTTCTGGTTCACTGCAGTCCTTCACAGCACTCAGTCAGTCCAAAGAGACTGAAAGTACCCAGCTGTCTGTACAAAGGAGGCCCCAGACATCGCAGGAGCTGGGCTAGGATGCTCTGACACCTCCCTCCAGGTCACCAGCAAGGAGGAGAGGACAGGGTGTGATTGCTCCCTGAAGCATGCCTGGGCATCCCGATTCAAAGGCAGAAGCCACTTCAGATTGTGCTTGTGGAAAATACTCAAGAGGGTCCGATTGAGATTCACTGCCATGCATGAAAATCACTGTTCTCTTTCTGGGCTCATATCGAGCAACACTCAGCTAAATCTGGAAACAAGGTGCCGAGTTGCTAAGCGAGGTGTCAGAAATGCTGGTAGATGCCATGTTTTCCTAACAGTATAGACAGCATCCCGGGGTTTGAAAGCTTCGTGTCCTTGCACAGGGAACTAGGTTTGTATTCAAAGCCTGAGCCTGGGTCACAGTGATGATGAGAAGTGTAAATTCTGGTGAGCTTTCTCTACAGGTTGCAAAAGCTTTTGATTAGACATGTTTATACCACTGTGGAAGTGCTCTTCTCTAGTTACAACTGGTCTCACTAGGGGAATGAGTAAGATGCAGCAGCAGATTAGTATTTTTGCCTAGTGCAGATCTAGCCTTAGATTTATCAGCTTTTCTCTAATCCGTGCCTGAGAGATAACATGCTTTTTGAAAGCCAGAGCTGGCTACTGTGCAGTTTCTCCTCACTTTTTATAGGCTTTTAGTTGACTGCAGCAAAGAAAGTATTGTGACTTACGTTTCTTTTTCTCTCAGTTCTAGGGAAAATTCGAACTGCAGTGGGCAGTGCCCAGCTTCTCATGGCCCAGAAATTTTACCAGTTCAGAGAACTTTGCGAAGAAAACCTGGTATGTAACTTTTCTGCTAGACACTGTTCTGTGCTTTTTTCTAACCCCATGAATAATCATACCTAAACTAGACAGATTTTTCTGACTAGCATGGCAGGTTTTTTCAGTAAAGGCCTTGGTATGAATTTGAGAGTAACTCTGTGAAACTTGGCAGAGTTAGCATGAGTTTCACTGTAGGTTGAGAGCCTTAAAATAATGACGGACAAAAAAGCCTTCAGTAAAATATCACTGAAGCTCTGTTATTGATTTCAGAGGAGCAAGGATCTGTCCCTTGACCTCTGAGTTCAGTTTGCATGGTCACAGAGGTATTTAGGTAAAAGACCTTAAGGTCTTTCAGGGTGGACCAGAAGTTTCATGAGAGGGACTTTCCCATGTAATGGCAATGCAGCCTGTATTAAACAAAACAGAAATACCAGGAAATCAGACACTGAAAGTTGGTGTTTCATGTTCCACAACCCCAATAGTGAAAGAGAGAAAAATAATTTTCCAGAGTGCTAAACAGGCAAAGAGGAAAAGAGCCAGTATGTTATTATTATTACTGTTTGTACCTGGTATATGTTACCACTCATTATTATTATTTGCTATTTTTATGCTGTTAGAAGTAATAGAATCAGAATGATATTCCTGTTGATAAATAAAAATACATTTCATACTATGTATCTAAAGCAATATTTTCAGAAATGCCAGCACTTATAAAAATCTTCAAACTTTTTAATTAACAGTCCATCCATGCATAGTAGATACAATGCATTTAATTCCCAATTTGGGCATAAATTGCTAAAAGTCCAGAAAGCATAGAGCATTATGCTCTGCCAGCATAGAATAGGGAAGGGAAGGCAAACCCTGCGATACTCACTGGAGTATCATCTTCCACTTCAGTTAATGCAACTCTGGAAATCAAGCCCCAAACTAAAATCTGCCTAAGTGGACAAATGCAACAGAAATTGGGTCTGTCTAAAAAGCCTTCTAATTCTTAATAAAAAAATTCAAAAAGCATTCTGGTTGCTCATCTTTGTAAATAAAAGTCTACAACTGGGCAACCTGCTAGTGTCAAGCATTGAAAAACTAGAAATCCAAGTATAATCTCTGGTCACCTTATGAGTCTAAAAATACATTGTTTTCAGTAATTGCTCCTTTGGTTGTATAATCTTTCTATCAAAATCATTTGTCAGTGTTGCTGTGAAAAACACAAACAGAAATTTCTTAAGGCAAGCAACTGACTCTTTGGGTATTTTACTTCTGGTGAGGGAGAAAACTTAAAAGCAGAGTAAAACTTGAGCCATGTAAAACAACATCCAAGGTTCTAATAATAATTTATTTATTTGTTAATAAAAATATATCAATATAATCTTGCGAGGCCACAGCACCCATGAAACCTTGCTGTCTCAGACTGGTGTAGGGATTGCTCAGTATTTACAGAAAAACATGCTTGAAGTGAGCATATGCAACACCTCATTTTATTTGAAGTTTCGATAGGGAACCAGCATATAGATACATAACCTGTAGAAAGCTTTCCCTCATATGAATTTTGCCATCAGAGCAGGGACCATTTCATATATGTCCTCTGCATGCAGAAAATGTTTAGAGCTGGGTTGTGTTGAAGGGACACAAGAGAGAACAGGACCTCTCATGTCACCAGCCTCTGGTCCATGCTGTGCTGGAGATCCTAATGTGTCAGGTGTGTAAAATGGGATTACTGTGCTTCTGCATGTTCTTGTCTGAGCTTTTCACCCTACAGAGGTTATTCTTGAAAAATAAAATATGAAGAAATTGGCCTGAGGTGTATAATAGGCAATTTTACTTGAAATGGTGCGTTTCTGTAGACCTTAGGTTCTCAGAGTGTGGAAAAAGTGTTCACACATTGGTATATCGCTATTTGCAGATGCAGCAAATATACGTTTGCACAGGTATCAGTCTTTTACAAATGTGAATATGGCAGGGAATCCTTCCTCATGAAAGTGAAGAGGAGGATGGCGATTAATTTCTTTGCGGTTAGGATATCCACTTGTGCCCAGGAACATCCCCAGGCAGATCCTGTCACAGGGGACCTGGCACCTGCCCTTTCCCTGTGGTCCATGTCGGGTAGCTGCTGCCTTCAATGAGAGGGGGCTTGCGGGGGCACAGCGGCTCGACACCGAGCCAGACTTCTTGCAAAAGCCCTCTGCCAGTAAGTAGTGCTCCACTTTGCTTCTCTTTCTGTGTCTCACTGATGGCTTGGATCTTCTGAAACTGCTTTGCTAGCAAGATTCGTAACCATTTGCACAAATGCTTTACATTAAGAGGTACTAAAGCCAATGTGGTTTTTTTCTTCTGTTGCACAGAATCCTAATGCACATCCACGGCCGACCTCCCAGGATTTAGCAGGGTTTTGGGATATGCTGCAGTTGTCCATAGAAAATATTAGTATGAAATTTGATGAACTTCATCAGTTAAAGGCCAATAATTGGAAACAGATGGATCCTCATGACAAGAAGGTAGAACATTGTAGATTTTGTATGCTTCATTTAAAACCCTGCACAAATACTGGACAGATTAAATAGGCCTCTGTGTTACAGCGTTGACGTTAAAAATGTGAAATGAAGCTCATATCGAATTAATTTCATTGTAATAACACTGTTTACATAATAATCATCTGGGATATTATCTGTAAAATGTTTCAGGCATATTTTTAAACCAAATCTGTCTTTGTGAATCGGATAATGGGAATGTGGTACTTTGTTAAACTTTACATTTAATCGTATTAGACGATCAATCGTTGGAAGGAACTGCCTTATATATTGATTCTTAAAATTAAATAAATCACATTTACGGTTCATATTATTGCATATAGCAAGAGTTCTAGGTTGTGTTACTGAAAAAAATAGGAAAGCACTGTAACCATCACTGACTTTGGTAACCAGATTACAAACAGAGCAATATCAAAAATATGCCTTCCAAAATGTAACATGAAAGAACTCTTTTTTTTTTTTTTGTCCGTTTGTTTGGATTGTTGTTTTTTGGTTTTGTTTTGGTTTTTTTTAATGGGTGATTTCATAAACAGGTTTACTTTGCTGGTAGTGTTGTTTACCCAAGGTAGCATAAAAATCATCTTGAGCTTTGGTCTTTTTTTTTTAAATGTAGTCTTCTTCTGTCACCATGAAAAACTACCACATCTCCAAGCGTGACCCACATTTCACTTTTCATTCTCATTTGGCACCATTGCCTTATTTTTCTCCTCACTATCCGCATCGAGACATACAGCACTTGGGTGAGCCAAAATACACAAATGTTTCAGAAAAACCTTAAAAGACAGACCCATTCCTAGAGGAATCAACGGTCTAATGTTGCGCTCCTGTAGGTATGTAATTTGATGGCTGAATTTCTGCTGTGGCTGGTCTGATAGCAATGAATACAGCCAACAGGTAGCGTCACCAGAAGGAGGGGGAACATGACTTACAGGTACAGTGGCTCAGACAGGAGTCCGGGCTGCCCCAAGTTATGGTCAGCTGGCTGCCGGTGACCACAGCGGTGTTTTCTTTTGGACATATAACCATAATAATATCAAACCCCATTAATCTTGCAGCAGGAAGTTTGCAAAGGCAGTGCTGGTAGCACTCTCCCTCCTCCTCCGATCAAGACTAAATACTCATTCCTGACTTAGGAGTGCCATGTTCACACCATTTGTGCACACCTAGTGTGTTTTATAGGGGAATGAATGGGAATGTGTTTTCCTAGCTCAAGGTACTGAAGGCAAGTCATTTTCTTATCTTCTTTTTTTTTTTCAGTATCTGTCAGAAAAGGAAGTTAAAACCGTCAAACATGCATGCACAGAAGCGCTGGTATATGGTCTTTTATTAGCTTTTACAGTAAAGCGGATAGGCCGAGTGTTTGCAATTGCAGCAGTAAGAAACAAGAGCTTTCCTTAAAAAAAATGTGCCTTTTCTTTGCTTCTGAAAAGTATTTCAAAGAGTTTCCAACAAAAAGAAGACTATAATGGGTTAAAGGAAGTTAAGTAGTGCTGAAGAAAGGGACCTACAGTAGGAAGGTAAAGATTTTAAAGAATTACACTGACTGTGTTCCTGTTTCAACAGCATTTGTCTATGATTTTAGATGAAACAGATCATCTCCTTTCTTAAAAAGGATTAAAAAAAAAAAAGAAGAAAAACCTTTCTGTGGAATTGATATTTGCAGTTGCCTTTGGCCTTTGCCACTGGGCCCTTTTTAAGCAGCATAGATTAATCCTTGGACAGAGAGAAAAAGCAAAGTATGAATAAGTGTAACTAAGCACTTTTATATTTTGAGCCATGGAAGCTGTTGTGAGCAGCATGAGAGAAAATGAAAAGGCAGAATGAGACCTTTGTAGTGCGATAAAATCCCTCCGCTCGGAGACCATGTTCACAGTTGGAAAGGGATGTAACTTAAAAGACAATCTAATTAACTTGACAAAGTCTTTGTGGCCGCCTGAAATTCAGACCTGAATACACTTTTCTTTTTTGGGAGACATCCCTCTCTGAGGTTTTTTGTTTTTTTTTGTTGGGTTTTTTTGTGTGTATGTGTACATGCACCAGGATATACATAAAAGTCCTCCTTGTTGATCGCATATCTGGAGCTAGCTGCCACCATGATGATTAATGCATGTTCTCTTAATGGTTTTTAAGTTTTTCCTACCAGATTTTTCTATTTATAGCTGATTGTAGCTTGTCATGCCTATTTAGCAGCAGGCTAGAGTTTATGAGCTTGCACAGTTGGACCCAAAGCATGGGATTTTTGAACAGTCATTAAGCCACTACAGAATATATACATAAATATGTGGTGTTTTAAAAAACTATTTATCCTGATGCACCAGCTGCAGGCAGCTAGTTCCCATCTGCATTTGGGAACACCAAAGCCACGGTATCTCCGTGTTGCAAGAGCGCCTAGTGTTATGTACGCATAGAAGAGGGTGGCCTGGGAGTTGGGGCTCTCCAGGGTTCCTCTGCCGAGAGCAGTGTTCGCTCCCCAGCCGCACGCAGCTGCGCTGGCGGTGGGAGGCTGCCTCCGAGATGCTCTCCTTTCCAGTCCCTGGCACCGGGAGGAGACGCCTGGATACCCCCCGCCCTGAGGGAGCCGCACTAAGCGGTTAGCGGTGGGGGCCTCGGCCCTGGCAGCGCCGGGCATTTCACACGCACCATCCCTGTGGAGAAGTAGCACTGCGGCCGGCCCTCCCCTCCCCTTTGCCCTTGCCCTATGGTTATGAACCCTTGAGCACAAAAGCCAGTTCACTGAAGACAGAAAGGCAGATAAGAGCTAACAAACCTTAGGTAAAATGTGTGTTCTAACTACTGACGTATCCTAGTTTTTCCCGCCTTTCCCTGAGAAGCTGTATAATGCCATTAACCTTCTGCTTTGATCAGGAGAGAAGGGTCCCTCCTCCAGTGCCAAAGAAGCCATCGAAAGGTCAGGTGCCACTCATACGAGAACGCTCTCTGGAAAGCTCGCAGCGTCAAGAGGCCCGGAAACGGCTGATGGCTGCCAAGCGCGCTGCATCGGTCCGCCAGAACTCAGCTACCGAGAGCGCCGAAAGCATTGAGATATACATCCCCGAAGCCCAGACCAGGCTATGAAGGGATCCAACCAGGAGGACTCTCTCTGGCAAGACAAGCCTCATGTATAATCTGCCCCTCTAGGCTCCTGCTCAAGGTCACTACGAAGTATTTGTACCTCCTCCTCCTCCTCTTTCTCTCGCTCTCTCTCCCCTCCTCTCCCCCTCCCCTCTCTCTGTACGCAGCCACCCCGATGCTCCCAGTGAACTCCACTGCCGTGGCGTAGTTGTCGGTCCTCCGAGAGATGTCCTTTAATCACCCTTGCTTTCTGAAAGTTCGCCCATGTCATCACAATGCTTTGTCACATGTACTGATGCTGCCACTTTGCCTCATGTAAACGAGTACAATCTTTTTTTTTTTTTTCTGTTTGAAACAAATAAATGCAGCGCTCAGACTTCCACACACCCACGCACCTGTACAGTAGATGCTCCGTTTAACTTACTCATGATCTTTAGTTGACCTAAAGCTAGTCTGTTACCCGGTGTACAGCAATATCAAACTGTAGGGGACTTTGGAAATTTCAGTCATGCAGGGTGATCCTTTCGGACTCTGCCGTCTTCCTCACAAAAGATGAAAGGAGCTATGACTCGGATTCCCTTCTTTTTATTACTGTTTTTTTTAAAGCAGATGGCGCACTTTATTCTAAACCTCTGAATCACACCTTCTCACCTGAATTTAAGGAGTCACACAAGGGGAGGGGGCTGGGGCGGGAGTGGGGAGGGGGTAAGAAAAAAACACAGCTCTGGGAGGTGAAAAAGTGGAAGTATATCCCACAGGTGAGATGGCAAGGGATAGAAAAGATCCTGTGGAAAGATACCTGCACACTCACAGCTGCACAAACTGCCTCATTTTTATTTCATCAATCACTACTTAAACATTTCAATCAGCAGAAGATTGTAAATTCGATCTTCCAGGGAAATAATCTATTTTGAAAGGCAATAAAAGAGTGAAAAGGAAGGAGATAAGAAGCAATGACAGTTGAAGAGATAAAATAAAAGAAGGATTTTCTTGTCCAAGTATTAAGAATTTTTAAAATTGTACTGTATTGTCATTTCCTCTTGTATTGTATTGTATGGATTATATTGGTTAAAAAAAAAAAAAGAAAAAAGAAAAAAAGCTTGGTTTTGTTGATGTCTTAATCTCGGTGGGACCATCCGATCTCACACGTCCACGCAGCCACACACGGACACCTGTAGGCGAATTTCTGTACATGGAGCCTCTGATGCTTTTCCAGGCCAGGCTTGCTTTGCTCTATCCACAGCCGGTTGTATGCTACAGTTTAGACTGCTTATCACCCAACAGTCCATATCTAGGAGTAAGTTTCTAATGCAGCCTCCTCTTAATAGTATAAAATACCCATTTGAACAAGAACAATAACGTATTTTTCACAAGTTATGGGATCAATATGAACTTAATTTTTTTCACAACAAGCCTTCCTACCCCAGCTTCTGCCATTGTTTTGCAATCACGAGAAATATGCATCCCAAGTAGCTCAATAATAGTGGGGGGAAACGGCAGACAATAGGGCTGGAGAGGAGCCTGAGAGGTCAGCTCCTGCCTGTCTGTCCCCCCCAGCCACCCCTGGCTGAGGCAGGAGCTTCTCCTCCAGCTCCTCTGAGGAGGAATGATGCTGACCACGCCGCTACCGCAGTCTCTTGTGCCAACATTAGGAAAGCTGTGTCAGGCATGTTGCTGAGAGCAAGCTGTGTGCGTGCGTGTGAGTGTGAGCGTGTGTGTGTGTGCGCGCACACGTGTGCCTAGCTGGCACGTGGTGCTGACAGCAGAATTGGCATGAACTGGTTTGGATGATGGGGCTGGTCTGGGGCAGAGGAGCGCTGTGTGGCCCCCGGAGCGTGCGCAGCCCCGCAGCGATGCTTTCCGACCCTGCCGCTGGTCCCTGCGCGCCCCTTGCCCCGGCTGCCAGGGCAGGGGTACACGGGAGAGGAAGGCAGGCTGCTTTCTGCTCCCGATGGGAACAGGCACAGGGAGAGCCCCCCCATGGAGGGGCACAGGGTGCAGCCACTGCCACACGCCAGTGCTTGGCTGGCTGGGCCCGTAGCTGTTAAACCTGTACGGACCGTCCAACCCGTGAAAAAACCCGCTGCGCGGGTGGCATAATTCTGCACCTTGCACTTGAAAAGCATTTAAAATTGTCATCAAAAAGTTAAGCTCTTGCTAAAACTATTCATCGAGATCATGCCAGACAGCTTCTTTTCCTACGACATCATAGCCAGGTGCTAATTTAATTTTATTCAAGAAAATAGGAGAGGTAATAGGTTCTGGCACCAAGCATTTTCATGAAAGCATACTAAAACCACTAGAGAATTTGCTACCTCTCAAAGCCATTGATATCTGAGCTATGTCTTTATAAACAGGGCACAAATATTTACTGCTGTGGTTTACAAGATAAGGGCTAATAATTTAATATATAAAAGACTTTTAACTAGCGTAAGCAGAAATCCAGTGTAACCCTAGAGTGCTTTGTGTTACAGGAGCTTCGAAAGGTTTGACTCTCTAAGCATTTGAATACCAGTGTATTTGCTAGTTTTGAAACACTGCGTTTAACTTTTAGCAGCAACGAAACATCACCGTGTTTGCAGTATGTAATAGTGCCAACTGCCACTTTTGAGCATATATAGTCATAGGAAGTATTAATTATTTGGAACTCATTTGTACTGAAGTATTCAAAGCAGTATCCAGGTGAGAGTCCACAACTGTGTCGCAGACTTCGTTTTGTGAACGTTATACGAAAGATGAGTTAAGACTTTGGTTGACAAGTGGCTACAGAAATTTATATCCAGCAAGGTCCCCCCTAAAAAAGCAGCAAAGCGAAGACTATCTAGTCTTGTACACTACAAATTACTGTATTTGTATATAATAGAATATTTTTCCTATCTATTTTAAATGAATTTATTCTTAGCTGAATGCCTGTTAGTTCATTTGGTGCTGGAGAGGGTATTAGAGTGTTTGCTTAGTTTTTTAGCAAAATATTGAAAATACAGCCAAGACCAGAAAATATAAAATAGGATAATTCTGCCCCTACAATGCCACTAGTTAACCACTTGACTCATTTACCCACACTAATGCTAGAATATTTGCTCTATCATCTGTTTTAGTATAATTTGTAACTATTTGGGTTTAGTCTAACCTGCCCAGTGTATATTAAACATGCCTATCTTCTGTTTCACTTTGGGACTTAACTATTGCTTTTTTTTTTCCTTGGGGAAATTTTAGAAAATGTTGGTTTTGTCTCCTGCTTCAAAAGTTAAAAAAAAAAAAAAGAAGTATTTATTATATTTTTTGCAGATGTTTCCATAAAATTCTCATATCTTTTTGTAAAGAAAGATGAAGAAATGGATTAAAGCTTTTTAATATTTGAAAAGGTAAATAGAAATAATTTATTTGTAATATATTTCAGTTTATTTATTGGTGTTCCCTTAATGCTTTGATGTGCACTATCACTTTGATTTAAACTGTATCTTTGTGAATTTATTGGTTTTTTGGTTTGGGGTTTTTTCTTAAGGAAAATGGTCAAATGCATATTTTAAGTAACTGGAATGTAAATCACTGGCCTACCTGCATTCCCAAATGTGATTTTAAAAATGTTTATGATTTGAAACAAAAGACACAAATTTGAAGGCTTTTAGACAGAGGAGAGTGTTTTTATGGCTTAACAATTTGAGTTTCCATAGGATTATCTATCTGGTTTGTGTGTGGACAGGAAAATGTAAATAGATGAATGTTTCCCATAATGTAAAAAGAGCAAATTAATAAAATAATTAATGCACTGCTTGTAAGAGCTGTGGGTTTTCAATGTTAATTCATTCTCCCTGAACTGCCAAGGCGTCATTTGATGTGGTCAAGGATAAAAGCATGACAAGCAGAATGTTTCTCTTAAGCACTCATTGCTTAAAACCAATCCTGCAGTCTCATACGAAGCATGCCACTGAGCACCCTGGAAGTGCTCATCTGCACACTTACTCACAGGGTCAAGGTTGCTGTGATCAAGGCCTTGAGCCTTAGCAGAATCTTCAAAGGCACTTCTGCATGGAGCTCAGCCAAACCCCGCTGAAGATGTCAGGAGTTATGCTGGTGACTTCAAAAGAAGCAGCAAGAAACCCCCAGACTTTTTCCCCTTGCTGGTTCCCTTCATCTTGCGCTTATCTTCAGCAATGGCTGAAACATGGGGGACAAAAGAGATCCCTGGCAGAGATAGCTGGCTTTCCCCACTGGAATCCTGCTTCCAGATGGGGTTTCTCCCAGTACCTAAAATAAATAGTCACCAAATCCCACAGAAGTATGTCCCAGATTATGTTGTTCATGGCTAAATCAGCATTTAAACAGGTTCTGATTCAGTCTGTAGAGCCTAAGAGTTATATTAATAGCATGCCCAGGCTGCACCACGTACCGTCTGCCCATGCTGAGACCCTCAGCACAGGAAGATTAGAATGATTTGTGCCAGGGATCTATAGGCAGGGAAACTTCCGCTTAAAGGTTTATCACCACTGAGATGAAGGGATTTCTCTTCATCTGCTGGAATTTATGTTTTCGTTGGTCACTGATAAACTGATGCACTAGGGATGGGAAGGAAAAAAAAAAAAAGGTTTGTTATTTAAAAACCTTTCTGAGGTGGCTGGTATCTTTTTGTAATGAGAATAGATCAGAGGGCATAAAATAGCAGATATATTTCAAGCTTTTCTGGGGCAGAAGACTGAAGTTCAAACCATGGTTCATAGCCCTGTCGTTCACGCGTGCTTAAGGTAAACTTTATTTATACTCAATGTTCCCTTCCAGATCACATCATGAGCCTTCCCCACAAGCACAGCTTGTTGTCTGTTTGCCGTAGTCTGTTCTCTCCTGCTAGACATTTATTTTTGCAGCACGCAATAGATAAATAATACATTTCAACCATCAGTTTGGAGCATGCTTACCTATATGAGATCTGTTGAAAGTTGGTGTTGACTTTGAGCTGACATTTTTGATAGCAATTAATAATAAAAATATCGGCAGCTCTGCTGCTATTGGCATTTGTGGTTGGAGTCTTAGGTTTATACATGATTTGGAGTGCAATACCTAAGTGAAGTTCTCCTTTCCCACTATGTGTCACATAACGGGGTTGGGTCAGCCCCACCGGCCTGTGATGCACAGGTGGACTTGCACTGAGCAAACCTGGGACCAGCACCCACAGTTGAAACATACTCAACCCCTTTCCCTTTAGTCTGATGCCAGTGACCTAGAAAAAATTGCTGTCCTGCCGTGGCAAGCTCATTCACCACCATCTTCCCTTCCCTGTGCTTTTGTACATGTGGGGGAGATTTTTATGGTCCCTCTTCTGTGCTGCTGCTCAGCCGCTGCTGTGACAGGAGAAGGTAGCTGCTATCACTTGACTCATCAGGATGCATTTGGATGCCAGGTGCAAAACATGGCGTGACTGGCCTTTTCAGCCAGCGGTCAGGCTTTCCCACGCTTGGGTCCCATCGGCGGGCAGCATCCTTTTCAGTAGTGTGGGTGAATGAAGCAGGTCCTCTGTTGCTCTGTGAGTCACACGCCCGATCCGCAGCGAGACAAAGGGACGAAGAAAGGAACAGGGCTTCCTGGTAATTGTGTTTTTCATGGTTCTCTTCACTGATCCGGTAACAACATAATCACAGAAATTAGAGACAGAAAAGCTCTGCTGGGGCATTGTGTTAACACTCTGCCAGTTACAGATTGCAATCTACAGGGCTGTGGCAGGTAAGTCATCACCTCCCTGCTTGTGCTCCACCCAGGGGGAAAAAACAACACATGAAAGGAGAAAAAAAAGAGATATATTAAAAAGCAAGCTGTGACATTGCCACCACTTATTATAGGCAACTCCTGGTGCAGAGGCCTTCATCATATCCACTCTGTGCTGAAAAATCTCTGTGGCGGGGTGCCGGGCTTTTCCTTGTTTTTAGCCAAGCAGAATGGAAGCAATTATGGATTTTGCCAGCTCTATTCAAAGAGGAGAAATACTGAAGAATTGCAGAGCCCCTGGAGAAGGCAACTGCTGCCCAGACCCCAAGCCACACCAACAACGCTCTGCCACGTTTCAAAGCTCTCAAAGGTTTGGGGAAAGGGATGGGCCTTGCCTGGAGTTAAAGCAGTGGGACAGAGTGTGACGGATGTTTTATGGGTATCAAATGCCTCACAAAGGTAAGATAAGGCACTTGTGTAAACAGCCGTGTGCTGAGGCAAACATCTTAGTTTGGAGATGGTGACTAGGGAGCCAAGAGGTTGAATAGCAAAAGGTAACCCCTTCCAATCTAACTAACCTTATTACCCAGTGGGAATGTCCAGCCTATCGCTTATCCCTGGCTTTTAACTAGAGTTAAAAAGTCATGTCCTTACAATAGTATGGCTTTTTTTTTCTTGTTGTACTGGCTATCGGTGCTCAGAATTGCAACCTGGAATCACTTCATGAGTGTGTGTTCAGCACTGGATTGCTGCAGTCCTTGAACCAGAACGGTGACCATGCCTGCTTTTGCTGTGTGCGCTCCACAAAGTATGTAGCACTGAGACATTAATGCATTGCACGAGTTGGGCTATGTTATTTGTCATGTTATAGAATGTTCTTTTTTATTTTCTTTTTTTTTTTTTTTTTAATAAGTGGTAATAATAACTTACTGTGCTCCAGTCATTTTGCCAGTCTTGGGAAGAAAACTTTCCTACAGCCTGAAAAAAAGAACAACGCTGAAACTTCTTCAATTTGTAGGTAGTTCTGGCAAATCATGACTAGGCAAGGCCTAAGGTGGGGAAGATGGAGATAACTGATGTACTAAGTGTGTGTCATTCCTCCTCGCTCCACCCAGTAATTGACAACAAAAGGGAAAAAATTGGTGTTGGTCAGGCAGTTCACAGATGATGCATCAAAACTGCAATGGCATTTTACCGTGCTGTGGTACTGGGATGAAATGAGCACTGTGAGCCAAAACAGGGAGCATCATGAGTGGCCCTGGGTAAGGAGGAAAGCAGGAAGAAGGAGAGGGTCTTGGCAGAATTGCCTGGATACTAGCAAGTTCACCCATGACCAAAGCGTTTGCAGTCGCAATCTCTAGCAACAACTGAAGGGGGAAATTCCTTCCCATCTTGGAGCGACATTTCATTAAATAGTTTCTAAATATCTGACATCCCTTCTCAGTGCATCATTGCCACCATAAGCATAATTTCTGCTGTGCTATTTGCAAGCCTCAGATGTGCCAGGGCAGCACTAGAGCCCCTGGAGCCCCAGCTGAGGGCAGGGGAGATGCAAGTCCCTGGGCAACACCAGGGTGTGCACGAGGCAGGGCTTTGTCACCGCTACTGAAATGATGCCAATGCTACGGGAACGTGGTATGGATTTAACACAAATAACGTAACCCAAAAGTAATCCAAGTCAGTTCATGGCTGTTACTTCCAATGAAGTAAGATATCATGCTGGGAAAGAAGAGTTTGTGAAAGGGTGAGTCCTTGTTTTCATCTCACTAGCAACTGTTTTAATCCAGCATAAACACCAGTGTTGGGCTTTTAGTGTTACTGTGTAGTGTTGGGAGAGAAAAGGAGACTTCACCCCAGGCATATTGCCAGCTGTGAAATTTAGTAGAGGCATAAAAATGAACCTTTAGTAACTTCAATGGAAACACATCCATTTGTCAATCTCCAAGTGAACCCAGAAGAGATATGCCTAAACCCCCTGAATTTTAAGTCATGATCCTATGCAAGAGGATCATATGACCTTGCTCACTGCCTGACTCACCACATAGTAAATGCTGTTGTGCTTTAAAAAAATGTAAAAAACAGTGACTTACGTCAATGAGGCTGTATGACTACATATAACAAATGAAATATTTGATAAATAGATAGCGTGTATCAATCTGAAAGACTCTATGAAGTACTCTTTTTTATTACTAAAGCTTCAACTGACAAGAGGTTTCCTTTTGTTTACGTCTTTCCTGGCAATAGCATCATGACAACTGCAGCCTGTCTGAAAGAATGTGCATGGACCTGGGAACCCAGCCATACATTAGCAAACTGCAGTGTACTCCATGTGTTTCTCGTCCTTTGCTTAATAGCCTTGTGCTTGTATACAAAAGGGGAAGAAAGCTACTTGTGTGCAGTACCGCCTTCATTGCAATGATTTGTGTTGATCAGCTTCTCCCAGGCAATGCTGAGATTTCAGGTAGGAAGCAGCCCACCCTCTGCATTTGTACTTTCTGAGCTAAAATATTTCTTAGTAGAAGGCGGGGAATAGAATCAGGAAACCAAGCCAAAACAAAGAAAACCTGTTGAAGCACACAGAGGTCATTAAAGTGTAATCCAAGCAGATTCTGTTTGTCAACAGTTGCATGAGCCAATGTAACAATATTCTGAAATGACTTTTAACTGGAAATGTTTTCATGTCAAGTAGCACGTGTGAGTTTAACACTAATGGTCCAAGGCTTTCCCAAGTGGGTGCTGTCGCAGTGTCCCTGCCACGTGCGTTAGCCATAGCCACCGCTGCCAGGAACTTCCCCTCACAGCATGTCACTCACTCATACAGTAAAAGGATATTGTGCTATAGGAGCCATGTGTTTTCTGCTTTACCTTGCGCTGATGCCAAGTCAGGAATCTCACCAAAGCAGGGTGGATGAATCTCCTTAAACACCAGTAAGTACACTCACCTGGGACAGAGGTTTAGCATTCAACTCATCCAGTTTTTGTTCAAATATCTTTACACCTCGTCTCTCTCTCTCTGATTTTTCTGTAGACAACATGAAACTCTGCTCTCGCACCTCAGGAGCCAGTGTATTATATTT